TTCACATCGGGTAATCCATGGATGTTCAAATTTCAAATGAAAGCAGTGCTGTTCGCTTGGCTCTCGTTTTGTCCGTCTGTCACCACAAGAGAGAGAGATCGATCCTCTTAGCTGCTACGTACTGCTGCTGCTGCTGCTCCCCCCTCCTCCCCCCCCTTTTCTCCCTCGAGTACTTTACCTTACTCCGTACACCGGTGGATGAAAGACCCAGTTGCATCCGCATTCTGTACGCTCTACTCCACACATCTATGGGAAGAAAGCGAGCTAAATGGAAAAGAAACCCGACCGTTGTCTCGCGTTATTCGAGTTACTTCTTTTTTCAGCCTGGGACCGAAATGAGGGATGATTCGACCACTCTATGTATGTTCTGGCGTGGTCGAAATGACAATGTCTTTCAACGTCATCTACAAGGCTGATTTGTTTTCTTATTGCCGTTTTCTATTTACCCCTCTGATCGACTCATTTTACGACGTCGGCGGTGGGTTCTCCGTGGGATGACAGCCGGGGCGGTAGGGACCTAGCCCCGAGCAAGCGGCGCCACTCAGGTCCCCAAAAGCCCAGTAAAAATAAGCGACCGTGCGGGCATGTGGGAAGCAAAAAAAAAAAAGAAAGAAAGAAAGAAAATGTCAAAATTATTGTCAAGTCTCCTCCATACTCGGTACGTACCCTCATTACCTACTCGAAGAAGGCCACCTCGCTTTTCCGACGAATCATGGGACGGGAATCTGGCACTGGGACTTGAACGTCTCCGACTGTGCTATGCAGTCAAGCAGTGCGTCCCCGGCCGGGAATCGGTAAAGCTGGCAACAATCGACTTAACCTCACCGTCAAGCTCCGTGAGGCGAGCAGTGCAACAAACATGACCGAATGAGGTAATTTTCAAATAATACTATGCAGTATTGCGCCATCCGCCACAATGGGTCTTCGGAGACCGGAAGGGATGCTACGGTTATCGGCCACTCTGGCGGTCGCCATCGTCTACCCGAAGTAAGAAAGAAGAAAACCCTCAGTAACTATGTGTACAGTAGGTACTCTGTACACGGCGTACAGTATGCCTAGAATGGAGGATTTGGGGGAGGCAATAGCCAACAAAAACAAACAAACCAGTCCGGAAACCTTACCCCGTTCTTTGATCATATCGCTCCATCCCGACACTACCCAACCAATGGGTTGCGCGACAGCACTGTTGATAAGCCATTAGAAAGCAAACCCACCATGGCTTTTTTTGCGTACTGCTGTCTATTGTCGGTGGTCCCGGATGCAAGCCCACTCGACAGAAGAAAAGTGTGAACAATTGCGGATCCTATTGTTGTGGCTAAAGTTCTATGGAAGGAACATCAGGCAACGGTTTACCAAGTGGGTGGATTACTGCTGAAGAAGGAAGGAGATTAGAGGCGAGTGAGCCCTTAGTAAACTATAACTGACTATAAGTTAGTAGCAGAAATAAACGCAGAAGCCAGAAGGAACCCGATCATCACGCATGGTGCATTCATGCCGTTGGATGGACAGTTGATCATTATATATTATCAACATTGCATATCTGCGAGTATCATATCACATAGAACCAAACTGGAAGATGCTGCCTGAATTATTAGCCCGACCACTCAGGGAAGCTTTGTGAGATCGTATCAACACTGCATATTTCTTTGATAGAGTTCAGATGAACCAATAGTTCAGCGCCTAGTGTTGAGTGAGGGTTCATGCTAGATGAGATACGGGGTGTAGGTACGGTAGATTTGGGAGGAGAAAGGAGGGGGGGTTGTTGTTTCGCTGCATCAATGGTGGAGTGAGACAGTGAGATTGGAGGCAAGGGCAAACGGTAACATTACCCAGACCCAGTAGTGTTCTTTCTTTCCATTGGAAGCTTCCATGGCAGAGAGTCCCTCCGGCCAAGGAGACTAGTCCTACAGTTACATACAGACAAGCTAACTGACTATGTACAGATAGACAAGGACTAAGGAGCCTTAGAGTCGGGAATCAGCAGATCGCACACTAGCAATCCGCTCTGGAGAAAGACGAGCCAAGCCGAGAGTCGTTCTTCCCAGGAGACTAAACTCTGTAGGGAATCTGGCTGGGAAACCCGAGTCTCCGGACGAGCTGCTGTCGGGCTGTCGCGCGTGTACCTTGGGAGGTTCAAGGTTCAAGGTTGCCGGATAGCCAGATCTGAAACCGACTAACGCGTATGCCTGCCTCCAATCAGTGTCCGCCTAGACTGGGGGCGTGTCTCGGCTTCCGTCTTAGTCAGGAGAAACCCCCCCCCCCTTTCAAGATGGTAAGTATCTCCGATTTTATTTGTATTTCATTTCACCCAAACGGCAACCCCTTTGACTACTACACCAGTCTCGGTCAATTCTCCAATGAGTGCTACCTACGGAGTACGTACAGTACTGTACCAGACTATCAAAGGGGCCCCCGCTGTTGGCGTCTCCGATGCAAGTAAGCTCATTGTGAAACCGTCAGGGACACACCCACGAGGTGATAATATAGCTGAACGGGGACAAGGGTCATGATAATCCGAAATGAACCCCGGCTAATGTGATTTACCTCCTACATACTTAGTCGCGGTCCAGTGGAACGATTCTAAAGTGACTGAAGAACTTTTAGGCTTTTAGCAGCATTCTTCGAACCTTCTAACTCCTCCTCGACTCGAGACGGGCGATAATATATTTACCTTGGAAGTCGTCGATGGAGACCGGATCCATGATCTGACCATTTCATCCCTAATGAGTGGACACGGGGGGCTGGCCGGAAAACTTCCGACGCCACTGGTGATTTGCATTTCGTTGAAGTAAATCCCGCTTAGTAGGCCGATGAATATGTATTATTCATTGTTCATCATGGAAGCTTTTTTCCCTATCATGTCACGGAATTGATCACAACTGCCGCCGGACCCTGGGTCTCCCGAAGGGAATCCACAATCCAATCTAGCTATGGGCTGAAGCAACCATACCGCGCCATATATCTATCTATATGCGGCAGAAAAAAAAAGTATTTCTCACCAGCGATGTCGCGATGGGCACTGAGGCTCGTCTAGCGAAACCTGCCTGCGCCGCTTCCAAGGCAGTAGGCGAGGGGTTCCCACTGCTGGTTGAGTAATGACAATTGCATCCTTCGTACTTAGTCCGCCGCCAAGCAGCTTCCCAGTCCGGTAAGTGGGCATGGTTCCGACTGCCGGCATAAAGCTTCAGGCTAATACCGCAGCATTTTGCGGGGACAAACTATACAGGCTAGACGCGTACGAGTACCTACGGCACCTGCAGGCACACCGTCCAGTGTCCAGTGTCCAGTGTCCACTCACCCAATCACCCAAGCATGCGGCCGGAGTACTTTCCCTTGGTGCTAGCGGTACTAGCAGTGAATTGAGCTTTGGCTACCAGAGATGGCAGTGGACAGGTTTGTTTACATTTGTCCTTCCTCATCAGTGCTCGAGGGAAAAGACACTGACACACATACACACGCGCACGCACGCACAACCTTACCGTATGCTGATTCAAGCCACAAGCACACCGTTCTGGAATTAACTAGCGAAGCCTCCACATTTCCAAGCTCGTGTGGCGGCGCCCAGGTCGTGGCAGAGACGATAACGGATGCCCTCGGTCGAGCTTAAGCTTGGGCTGCGCGCCTCTTAGGGTATGGGCATGCACCATCCGAGCACTTGAAGCCAGCACTGAACGGAACACACACACACGAACGATATCTCTCCAATTCAGGGCTGGAGGATCCCAACTCCAGACCCCGACAGGCAGGCAGGGCACCTTTGAGTTCTGTTCCTGGGTGCTTGCAGGGAAGATCATGGACTAGAGCGGCCGATCGCATGAGCTGAAAACCTGGGCCAATAGGCCAACAAGCCACTGGCGCAGCACGTGCATGTCTCGACGGTCGACACTGACACTTGCACTGCACTGCACTGTCAATGGACCTGGCTCGTGGGTTAGGGCCGTGTGTGATTGACGGTGAGCATGAGCATGCAGCACGTGAATTGACTACAGGCCACTAACAGAGGCCAAAGAACTCAAAGAAGCGGCTTAGTTGTGCTCTCTGGGACTATCGGTCCGCCTCAATGGCACACATTCCGCTCTGGCGAGGGTATTGGCTGGTTTTCCCGAATCTAACCCCAGTGCGGTATGTAGAGCACTCAGCGGAGTTTTGGGCGACCCACGAATTGAGGGATTTAGCTGGGGAAAACGAGATAACGTAGGATCCATCCGCGATCTTGGTTGACCACAAGCACCAAAGGGCCCTCTTCCCGTTCGACATCTCCAAATTGTTTCTTTTTTTCTTTTTTCTTTTTCGTTTTTCCCGATTGTGGGAATGCTGAGGATTATGGCGTCATTGGGGAAACATCGGGGATTTACTGCGGAAGCTATCCGAATTTTTCGTTGCGGGCAGCCGGCAAGAAGGAAAGAGGTGAAAGCCTATCATCGCGAAGGTTAAGCACCAGACTCTAGTGCCAGCCCCAAACCCTTCGCATGGGATGAGCTTACCTTGGATCGGGTCCTCGGCTTCAGCATAACCTACCGTCTACACGGTTTGGGTTTTGAGACTCATGCTTAAAACCTTACGAAAACGTGGGAGGACAAGCAGGTAAGTGACACAGCAAGTGACACAGCTATGTCCTTACCTCGTAGGAGAGTCCATTTCTAACATGTCTGACCCTTTCCTGTAGGAAATGTCTGACCTGAGTCTATCATTATGTCTCGGAGACACGACACGATAGCAGCTGGGTCGCGACTCTCGACTTGTGGATGCGGGAGTCTTGGTGTGGCTTGAGCCCCATCCAGCGTATACGAATACTGGACACCGTTCTTCAGCCACTTCATTCCTAACGTCGCGAAGGGACACCGGAGGTGATCAGTCCTCGAAAGAGGCGGGTAACGTTCGGATGGTCTTGGGGACAGAGTCCACCACTACCCTGCGACATGCGGCCGATCAAATTCAGCCTTCACATACGGAACAAAGAGTCATGCACACTCGGAATGAGGCCATTCAAAATTTGGGTCGCTGCCAAGATTGCCAACTCCACGGACTGATAGTGCGATCTCCCCCCCCCTCCCAAAAGTACTTAGGGTTGAACTCTAATTGGATAGCACTCGCAGCATTCGCTATAGCACGCACCGACTCCACACGAGGAAGCAAACCTTGTTCAGCTGTCGCGGAATGCTACAGCCTACCGTGGTGTGCGGCAAGCTCCCGGGATTGCATGTATTATTATCCCACGGTGAGACTCTTGGTGCATGAGTCAAACACCTCGGCCACCAAGGGCAGAGTCTGGGAGCAAGCGTGGGTCGCGGGCATCTGGGAATGCTTCATGTCATGGACGGGCAACAGATCTCCAACCCGCGATTGGTTATCGGGGAAGAGGGAAGGATGATGCGCAGGGCCAAAGGATGGTCCTTCATGATCGACGCGAGCGCGTCCCCGCGGAATCGACCTCCCGGAGAAAGGAGTGGGACCTTGGATTGCTATCTGCACAATGCACAATACCTGCGCCCTGCCAGACAATAGCTCTCTGCCTTGGTGGGGGTATATCTGAGAGTGAGAGAGAGAGAGGAAAGAGCAAATCAAGGACCCCCACGTCCGACGGATACCTGTGTCTCATACTCCGACTCGTGCGGCCGGGGCAAAAATGGCATGATGGTGGATTGGTATCAGATAAGAACTCGAGATGGATGGGGGGGCAACGAGCTCCGTTCCATGGATCGCGGTGGTCCTTTTTCCCACTTCTCTAGCACAACACGAAAAAGGGAAAGCACTGGGCAAGTCCCAGAATGAACAATGCACACGCCAAAAATGGCCATTGTCATTATCTATTACGCGAGACGCTCGAAAAATAAAACCAATAGCAGAACCGCGGGTTGGTTGATCACACGGGAAGCTGGACCGGACCGATAACTAGGTACTTCGTACAATACTTACTAGGGCTTCCAGCTGCCAACTTTCTCGCTTCCTGCAAGGACCTTCTGGGCTTCAAACTGATCGGAACCATGGATCGATGTCAAGCCTCACACGTATGTACCGCTGGTTTATTTTTGTTTCTTCGGGTTCGGTTGAAATAGGCAGGCACAGACGATTTGATTGCTGGGATGGGGGCTTGCTTCTATGCGAGCCGAGCAAGCAAATGAGCAAGCGAGCGAGCGAGCGAGCCAGTAAGCCAGCCAGCGAGACGAGGCGAGGCGAGACGAACAACGAGAGAGCAAGGACGCTTTCTCTGATAGCGTTGCTTGATTATTGCTGATGTTGCATGCAACATCAATCTATTCGATAGAGAACCGCAACGAGCAGAATTTGCAGCTGCAAAGTACGTCGACAGCTGCAGGGCTTACTGGCTTAGCTGACTAGTGTGTTCCTGCACTCTGCAAGTTTGCACCACCATCGCACAGCCCCATGACCATCGAATCGGGCTGAGGAATTGCCTTCAGGCTCCTTACGAATTACGACGACTTTCAGGCCCCAAAGCAAGCCGTTTCCTTGACGAGGATGAGGACCAAAGTCCCGTCAGCGACCCTTCTGCCCCCCTCCGCCCCATGATCACTGCATTAGTCCCTTCCCAGGGCACCTTCAGAACATCCACTCGTTCCCCGGAGATCTCTCCGTCTTGGATAAGTTGATCTATAGTAGTCGCACGCCTGGGCCTCGATTATCTGACCATGGGACGGCCGGGCATGGGGCCGTCCGGGCCGAAGTCAGCGAAGGAAGCGAGGCTTGCACAAGTCCCTTTTGGCCTTCTTCACACCACATAAGCATCCTTCAGGAATCCTTCAAGGCATGGATGACAAGATATGGGGAGGGGCAAACAAGGCGTGCCTTTGGGCGCTGGTGCCAGCAGCGTTGACGCCACAGACAAAAGCACAAAAGGAAAAAAAACATAGATTGGAAGGGAAAGGAAAAAGCAAATATCGACCCCAAAAATCAGACTGAAGAAATCCTCGGGATCAAGAATCAACAAGCAAACCGGCATAGACTACCGATAAGCAAGCACACAAACACACCCCCACACACACAAAGCAACGAAAAATGAGGCAGAGAGAGAAAATTTTCGCTCGACATGAGAAAACAAAAGTAAACGAGGCAGCAAGCAAAAAGGGAAATAGGCCTCAGTGGATGGTAGTTTAGATCAAGCTCCCCTTGATCGTGGGGAGTCAGTCTCTTCCTATCATATGTTTATACATCCAATGTGTCTCATCATCAGCCCATAATAATATGATTGTGGGAGAAGAAGAGGAGGAGAAGACAGCAAAAAAAAAAAAAGAGACCCGAGCATCCCGCTCACCGCCCGAACTCACTAAGCCTCTTCCGTCATCCTCAACGACCGCGCCGGCGGCGACTTAACCGAGCCTCTCCTCCGGACTAACTCGATCCCCCGCTCCGTCCCCACTCCACCACTATAAAACCTCCTCCTCCCTGTCGGCCACCACATTCTTCCTTTTTCTTTTCTTTCTTCGTGCGGCGACGCAACTATTACATTCACCCGTGTTGCCTGGACATCATTCTTTACCGTGATGTTTTTTCCCAGGTGTCAGTTGCGTCACAGACGAACGGAATTGCACACCGGTTCTACTTTATTGGTCTTTCTGAATTTTTTCTACTAGGATGAGACCATTTGGTTTGGGATCGGACATTACAATTTCCCTCGTTTAAGCGTTTGCTTTCATTCTCTTGAAGGATGAAATGCTTCGCTTGGCGGGTTTATTGCTTGTAGATTGGGTCTTGCGTGCAAGAGACTCGTAGTCTTTGTAGCATCAGTGGGATAATTCTGGGGATTATTCTCGGCCATCGGAACACATGTCTGGGTTGTTGCAGGTAGTACATGTGATATCATTGTATAGTTGATATGCAAAGATATCTTAGATTGTATCGCCAGCTAGTATTTTGTTCGAGGGGCTGTATGTGCTGTCTGTTGTTGACATCATGCAAGTTCTATCTGCGTGCACACTCAAGCTCGCCAGCATGAACATCCCGCCAAAGAAACTCCCCGAACATATGTCAAGTACGGAGTACAGTACATGGGTGTACATATTACACACCCCGCGCTTGAGGTCTCTACTATTTACTATGACTACTCCCCGGGCTCATCGCCAATCTTCTCCAACTTGCCCATCTCCCGCTTCTCACCGGCCTCGCCGAAGATCCGGATCCGGTCCACGCGCAACTTCTCACTGTCCCCGTCGCCATCCACAAAGAAAATCACCAGCGAGGTGACGTTCTGGAACTTGACGAACCGCAGATCCACTGTAGCTGTGCCCGTGTTCGCGTCCCAACTCTGCGGCTGGATCTCCACCGCCTGCACCGGGTTGATATCGTCCGCTTCGTCGAAGCCCAAAACATGGGAGCGATTCGTATACAGCTTGATCGTCTTGGGGCGCATCGGGCGCTCGTCCTCGTCGCGTTCCTCGCCCTCGTCCTCTCCCGGTGGGAAGGATGTGATCTGCAGCGAGTGCACCTTGACGGTGGACTGGAAGGGCACGAACAGCATCAGCTGCTCATCGGTGTCACTCTCCACCCAGTCCGGCCCGCCGGCCTTCTTGCCCTTGCTGTTCAGGGCGGAGGGTTTCGGCCCCTCGAAGAGCGTCCTGGCCGTGCCGTACTCGCTGGCCCAGTTCAACAGCTCCAGTCCCTTGGGGTCGGCTTGGTCTGTGATGTCACTATAGCCCTTGGGCACGGCGCCTCCGATCCAGTATCCCCCGCTGCCGCTGCCACCGCTGCTTGAGCCTTCGCCGGATGAGGGCTCGGCTTTGTTCGCCTCCGCGGCGAGTTTACGGACGACGTCGTTGAGCTTCTTCGGGTCGGCGCCGCGGATGGTGGAGGTTGGGCGGCCGCGTTCGAAAACGATGAAGGTGGGCATTCTATTCCGCGGTATCACTGAGATTAGCTTGGGTTTCCTTCCCTTTCCGAACGGTCATGGGAGGCGGAAGGGTCATCATACGCTGTGACGCCATAGGCCTTGGCGATATCTTGCTGGTTGTCAACGTTGATCTTGGTGAATGTGATCCGGTCCTTGCGAGACAGCTGCATGGCTAGCTGCTCGTACGCGGGGGCGATGGCAGTGCATGGTCCACACCAATCTGCGTAAACTTTTGGAGCATAAGAGTAAACGAAGTTAGTAGGGTTTGTTTGTTTGTAGGGTGGTTTTGTGCAACCGGTGTGGATGTGAGACAGGTGGCAGGGGAAAACGAAGGAGGGAGGAAAGGCGGGGGAGCTGGAACACAGGGAAGGCAAGCTCACAGTCGGCTACGACAAAGGTAGACGAGCTCAGTAGAGAGGCAAATTGCTCTTTGGAGGTGATTTGCACGAGTTGTGACATCGTGGCGGTGGAGGTGAGCTGAGCTGAGAGGTGTAATCAGGATTTGAAGGAGGAAGAGGTTGGTTCGTGTTGACCGGAGCAGACTGGACGGTTCGTTCGTTCCTTCGTCTCCGCCCCGGACTATCCATCATATGTCATCAACCCGGCGGCTGCTTCTGCGACGCTTTTCGTCTCTTGGATCACCTCTTGCTCTTGAACACCAACTTCAAATAGGCGCACTCATTAGTTCATTTCTCATACACAACTAGAATTACTGATATCTACTCTTTTATAGGTAACTGAGTATGATGTGGCCATCAGGCCCATTCGATCTGCCACCAGTCTGCTCATGGCTGGGCGCTCAATCCATGAGCTTGGACACCATCGTAGTCTCTGTTGGACAGACCTCTCCGAGACAGCAGGATATCGTGCTTGCAAGCCAAGGGCTTTGAAGACGGGCGTGAGCGTGGCGAGGTCACCTCGACCTTGAGTGCTCAAACTGTATTACCAGAGCACCCACGCTCGCTTTGCGGGCCATATTCCGCAAACCACCTTATCGTATCTGAGCCTCAAACGAGACCAGAAAGCGTCTCTCCCAGGTAAGAGACAGGTTCAGGGCACATCTAGCCGTCAAACCCAGGACATATGCGGGTAACATCTCACCCTCCCGGCGCCGGGGGGGGGGGGGGGGGGGGGGGGGGTGGGGGGGGGGGGGGGGGGGCAGCAGGTCTAGAAAAAGAGCATTACCGTATGCTCACACACAAGGATTTCCACCAACATCATCATCATCACCTCAGGTTCCCTGCTTCTGCTCCTCTCCCTCTCGCTCCTGCTCATCGTCACTGCCATCATTCTCAACCGCAAACAGGACCTTTATCCACAGACTGCAACCCCGACACCCGACCACGATCTCCCCGTTCTCCGCCTCCCTCTCCAAGTCCTCTTCCGTGAGAAGAAAGCCCCTCTCATCCCCACAGCGACACCCTCTGTACCAAATATTCCCTTCGCCGCCTTCACCCTCCACGCAGCCCAGATCTTCCAAATCCACCACCTCCAACCCCGTGTGAAACAGCACCCCGTTGCCCCCGGCCTTTTCCTGCCCCGCGGCATCCCGCGCGCGATCCAGTCGCAGGGAGCGATCATACTCGGCGCGTAGAGACGGAACGGAGAGGGTCTTGTATGCCGCTGTAATTTCATCTATCGTGTAAAAAAGTCTCGTCTGCGGCGGGGAGCTGTGGGCGTTGTTCGAGGCCAGATAACCTAGAGGCGCATCCTGAGCGGGTGTGCTGGCGGCGGCAGCCTTGTCGGGGTGGTGTTTGAGTAGGGCGCGGTGGTATGCGGTTTTGAGTACTTGCTTCGAGAGGGGCGCACTCGTGAAGGAGAGGTTGAGGATCTCGTAATAGTCAAGAGGGAGAGGATTCGTGGTGAGGGTCATTGTGAATGTCTTTTCCTCCCGTTTTCAGGTTTGCTCGGAGGAAAATAGAAGGTGGGGTCGACTGGCGAGAGGGATTTCAGCTAGTGTTCACGTGAAGACAGGCTTTCCTCCCTTTCTTGCGAGGCGCGTGCAAGAGATATTCGTGTGTCAAGGGACTCGTATGTATAACGGGGATTAAATGCTTCGTCGCAAAAAGATGATGAAAAAAAGATAAGGCGGCGCGGCGAACGGGTCTTGGCCGTTCCGCATTTGCGATCTCGGCCGCCCGCCGCTGCCATCGCCGCGGCCACAACTCTCGTGACTTCTGGACATCGGTACTACTATTGTGACAAGAGCCATGCTGCTGCATCTAACATCACTCGCAATGTGGATTGCAGAATCCAGCGATTAAACTTTTAGAACACAACACTCGAAGGTAAGTCTAATTCGCCTACAGCCCGTCCCTGTAATACAACTCATCTAGTGGATAAGTCTAGTATTGATGCTCTAGCTATCTTCTACCTCTAACCCACGAGAATCGGCTGTACAATGCCTGCGTGGCAGACAAGCCGAGAACAAAGCCGCACAGAAGGGCCACGACCGTCAAAGAGCGGACCGTTGTACGCATATATCGGATATCAAAATGTCGAAACAAGTCAAGAAACGCAATGCCCCGCGAACTGATTATGCCAAAAAGAAACCCAAACATTATTCACACATCGTGCACCTGATCTATGCCTCGAAAGTCTTGAAGACGTAGCGGTCCTCGGCCTTGCTGGTGAAGGGAACACCCAGCTCGAGAAGCTTGACGTACACGTCGGTGAACTCCTTGAAGAAGACATCGTTGTCCTTGGCGTAACGCTCGACGTGCTTGCGGAACTCCTTGTCCTTGATCATGGCAAGGTCGGTGGGGAGCATCATCAGGGTCTTGGTGGTCTTGTCGGTGAACTGAACGGGGCCGTTCCACTTCCGCTGCTGCCACTTCTCGTCGAGCAGGAGCTTGAAGAAGTCGTTGGTGAAGACAGTGGGGCTGAAGTCCCAGGGACCGTCGAAGCCGGAGCGGTCGGTGTGAGCGCGACCCAGGGCGTGGGCACCGATCAGGGCCACGATCTCCTGGTCGTTGAAGCCCATGCGGTAGAAGATGTCACGGACGTGTCTCTGGTCCTTGGAGGCGTCGGGGAGACGGCCGTCGGGAGTGCAGGCGGCGACGTCCCGGTCCTGACGGCCGGGTCTCCAGGGGATGGCAGGGCCACCGCACTCCTGGATGGCGGCAGAACCGGCCAGGGTCCACAGGTCAGAGTAGGTGATCCAGGGGAACTGCTGCTTGATGGGCTCGAGGAAGTCTCTGGCGTGCTTCAGGCCGGCGTTGGCACCGTGATCGGATTCGGGAGCGAACCGCATGGTAGCACCGTTGCTACCACCGGTGCCGGTCTCCTTGTCATAGGTGCCACTTGCGTGCCAGGCCAGGCGGACAAGGACCTATCAGCATTGCGAGGTTAGTGTCGTGTCGAAACGAGACTCTTCAATATTGGTTTGTCAAGACTTACGGGGCCGTAGCTGCCATCATCATAGTCGGTTTCGTCCACCAGCTTCTTGGCAATCGCATCGTACACCTTCTGGTAGTCCGCCTGGGTGGGGACGAAGGCCTTGGAGCTCACGGAAGAATCGCCGCTCTGGAAAAAGAAGAAAGCACCAGCGGCGCCAGCAGCAGCAACACCAGCCCACAGAAGGCCGTTAGAGGATTTGCTGGAGCCAGCCTCGGAGGCGTAGCCGCGGCGAGAAGCGGTGCGGAAACCCTGGGAGGGAAGAGCATGACGAGCGCTGCGAGCAGCGGGTCTGAAAGCCGAGGTGGCAGGGGTCGAACGAAGGAAGGCCCGAGAGGCCGAGCGAGCAGCAGAGGCCATTGTGTGAGAAAGAGGTGTGAAACGGAGAGAGATTATGTTGGGATGGGTAGGACGAAAGGGTACACACAGTACTCTTGGGGTGAATCGACTACTGAAGGAGGGTGAGACGAGAAGACGGAGGAAGAGGAGAGAAGGGAAGAAGAGGTGACAGGTACGAGAAGAAAGAGGAGAAAGGACGAAGACAGGGATACTAATAAGTCTACCAGGCTGCGAATCACTTCCATCGGTTTTGCCCGCGACTCCTCCAATAATCCCTGAGGGCACCAATGACAAGGGCGAATTAGGGCGAGCTCTAGCCCCAATCTTTTGAGTAAGCAATAGCCAGCCTTTTGGCTTTCTGTCTCTCTCCGCATTTCCTGCACTTTCTTCTGGAAGACCTGAGTTTTGCCGTGGGTTTGTCGGATGGATGATTGCCGCGGCTGTTGGAGATTACGGGTCGTGGCAACCCCCAGGGGCTCGATCCATGGCTCTTCCCAGGGCTCTTTTCCTGCCCTGGAAAAGTTGCTTGCTCTCTTCAATGGATTCCATCCTGAAGCTTTCCGTGACAATTAACTATCCAGCGCAATGGCGTTGTCAACCTGGGGAGGGGTAGTCTAACCCTTGTCTGTCTTCTCGCGTCGGCGGGATGGGATGGATGATAGATTCGATGCGACAATCCGAACGGGGACAGATCCAATCATAAATGTCGAAGCGGGTCCGGTGCGTTCCGATTATAAACTTGCGACTTCTCTTTGGTTCTTTTGTTCATTCTCGGCTCCACCATTTTTCTCCCTCCACTTCCTCCGTCTTACCAAATCGTGCCTGTCCAGAACTCCAGACTTGTCGCTATTACTCATCATCGGCATCTAACTTTGTACTGTCTCAATTTTGGCATTTCGGTCTTACAAACCATATCGAACTTTGTGTAGAGCCGAAGAAGGTCCTTTCGAAGCCATCGGATGCTTAGTGGGTGACCTTAAAGGTAGAATTTGCCGGACGATTAGAGGCAGGGTTGCGTGACTGCTGCATTTGCGCACACCTCACACCTCATGGTAAGACGATGGCGAAATTCGGAATCGAGTTCCCTTTAATCTTATTTCTGCAGAAGAAGAGGGCGGTGATCAGCCCTAATAATGCTGTGCTCCCGATTGTCGATGAGGGTTTCAAGTGCCATTCATCGACTGAGTTGAGCACCGCAACCAGAACATCCTCAAGATGTAAATTCCAATGCGACAGCACAGCGTACCATGACCGATGCACATATGAATGCAGTAGTCCTCTCTCTGGTCGGGGCTGAGGTCAACGCCACCAGCAACATGCAGCAACGTGCCGAACTACAATCCAAAAATCTACAAGATAGAATGTCCGTCGTAAAAATAGTCCTGCCGTTCGATCAAAGCGAACACCAGGGTGGAGTAGACGCAGCTCTGCTAAAAACTGTTTGGTTTTGATCTTCCACTGAACGAACTAAAAAAAAAAGTATGCCTCTTTGCCATTGATTAGGCTAGACGCGCACTGTGTGGGTTTGTGTGTTCGTGTTGTCTCTGCTTTGGCTACGAGTTGGCAACAAAAAAGATGCCGGAGGCCCCCCAACTGCCAACATTATGCAAATTGGGAGACGAGGTCCATCCGATGCGATTGTTCAGATTGAATAATCGTAGCAATGTGAATGGGTTTGTCCTTGTGAGACTGAGCCATGGCTGGCTGTCGATGTGACAGATTGCCCAAGTGGCCGGCCGAGTGTTGATGGGAGAGAAAATTGAAGGGGAAAACGAAAAAAAGTCAGACGGCTACGGTCACATGAGAATATATGTTTCGCTTAATGTGGTCATGTGATGCGCTAGTCCCCGGTGGGTAGAATGTTTGTCCGTGCGGGTACCCAGCTCGAGATTGGTGATTTAGAGGGGGTACCTAACAGTACATTAACTCAGAAAAAGCCTTGGAAAAGATCTTGGTCGTCGCGATTACTACATTATACGCATGTAATCTATCTTCAACGCCTATCTATTCTCTCTGGTGATTTTCGTTGGAACCTCGTGTTCAAGAAAGATGCAATGGGTGTCAAGTTCCTGTAACATATATTGTATAGAACATCATAGTCGCTGGGACAGAATACATTAAACGCCGGCGAAGAACTAATCCCAACAGTGTACAAAGAAGCATCATGCCTTCCACAAGCAATTACCAAGCCAGACGTCCCTCAGGCTCAAGTCTGGTTTCACTTCTGGCGTCGGTAGTTGATCTCATCGACTGCCAGCCCAACGAGCTGCGTAATAGGTCCACCCCGTCGCTTCTTGTATCTGCGCTCCGGCCTCGCGCTCTCGTACTCCATACTCGACATGTCTGGTTCTGACTGTGCCTGCGACTCGAGCATCGGCGCATCCTGGGCGTTGGCCTGGAAGGGCTCGAAGGCGGGCCGAACAGACAACGTCAGTCCGATCCCCAGACACACGAAGACGATCACAATTTCCTCCAGGACCGACATGCACAGCTGGATGGTGACGTTTCCGGAGAGCGAGCTGAACTCTGGCTTCTGGGCAAAGGCCGACAGCAAAGAGTATAGGATGCGCACGAAGAGCAAGGGGATCGAGATGCCGACGGCCAGGAGCAGGCGATGCTCGCCTTCCTCGATCCACTGATAGCGGAGAGAGGTGAGGAGCAGCAGGATGCAGAGGCCGACCCATGCGATGAGGTACAGTACCAAGCCGGCTTTGGTCTTGGAGTTGTACAGTCCTGCCGTCGGGCTGGTGCTTTTCGTTTGGCCCACGATGCCCAGGATCATGCCTACGATGGTGATCAGGCCGGTCACCTTGAAGAGGAGGGGGTGTAGAGCGTGGCCGGATTTCCGTTGGATCGAGTCGTTACTGGATTGAAACACGGGATATTAGTAAGGATGATTATTGAGAACCTGCTGGAGTATACCTACGCTCGAGACAACAGGCCAATGCAGGCCCATGTTAAAGGCGAGACTCCGATGGATGTGCAGACTGCCCATGCCACATAGAGATCGACTGATGTAGGATCGTTGATGGTGGCTAGGTAGCAGCAGGAGCCGATGGTTCGAGCTAACGAGAATATCACGAAGAATATCCAACCCGAGCTTCGTGTGAAACCGTGGCGAAAGGCCATCCATAGTGCCGTGAATAAGGTGGGGATGTATACTATTAATTCGAGGATGGAGATTCCATGGCGATAGTCGATAGCCATGATTGCAGTAGTCGGCTGAGCAAGACTTGTCAAGAGAGTATTGGGAGGAATGGCGAACAGAAAGTTCGAAGCTTCATATCAAAGTCAACGAAGGGGAGAAGCTCGCTATTTAATCCCCTCAACTCGGACTATCTCCAGTCTCCATGACGAAGAATTTTAGCCTGAGAACCACAAGGCTGTGCAGATACCATGATATTGCGAGTCTCCATCAGGATCGCCGGGCAGTGTTTGCGACCCTCATAGGCACTCAACCTACGGTTCCAAGCAATATGTTGAAGTGAAGAATACCGCATCCTTTCAGGGCGGAATTGTTTGAAGGGACAGATTGGGCCAATGAATAGGCCGGGCGACTGGGAGGTGCTCGCTCTGCATACCTAAAGCGGGTTAGTGGTAGAGAGCCTGAGGCTTGACTTGACCAAGCCGCAAACCTGGACCGACTGTCGAACTCCACCCGGGCTCGGGTCTCACTTACTCTTACTTGTTCCAACCTGGCTGCCAAATGTCAGCACTATGAGGAAGACTGACTTCTGACAGTTTAGTCTTCTTTCATGCAACGATAATTATTGCAGGCTTCCATGGCCTCTTGGAACGTTTCAAGCGTTTCCGCTCAGAATTATGAACGGCTGGTGCTCTTCGGTTAGCCCGTATCCTGCAGGAAGTCTCCTACCAGTTTACAGTACACTCCGAGTTCGTCGAACTCCGGCTAGCCATGGTATACCGTGGTAAACCGAGTGGAGGGTGCGACACCTGCCGCGCGAGAAAAGTTAAGGTATGTTCTTGCGGTCAAGGCTGAGCAAGCAATCTCTGTCGTTGTTGGAAACTAGTTTCGGCCCCCACGACTACCGACGCTGATCATGAAGCTTAGTGCGATGAAACCAGACCCGTCTGTCTACGCTGCACCAAAGCTAGGCGTACCTGCGCTGGTTATCGGGATCAACTTTCACTGTGGTTTCAAGACGAAAGCGACGCCACCGTGCAGAAAGTAAAGGCATTGGACAAGTCGGGCTCGAACGACTCGGCCCCACCAACAACGGCCGCTGTAGCGATACGACAGGCGGCTGCCCAAGTATATCGCCTCCAGCACTTGACCTTCTCAATCCCCGTCTTCGATTTTGCGCTGGACCACATCTTCCAAGCCACCTGCCTGTTTCTAAAGTCATATTCATGGCTCAATGTCTCATGCCTTGTAGAACAGTCTCAGACGCATGCCCTCTCTATTGGCGAAAAAGCCATGATGACGGGCATTGCGTCGGTGGGTCTTGCTAATCTCGCGAATCTTCATAATTCACGTCCCTTTCGAATCTCTTCAAGAAGCGAGTATACCACTGCTTTGCAGTTAACAAATGCCGCTCTTTGTGATCCAGTAGCGGTCAAAGAAGACACCACGCTCACTGCGGTGGCTTGTCTCTCGTTGTATGAAGTGAGTTCTTTGTGATTTTCCCAGAACGAAACCGCTGACTTGATTTGCAAGATTATCTGCTGCGACAAGGAATCATCTCTGCTATCTTGGTATGAACATGCACGAGGCATCGCGGCCCTGCTCGAACTTCGTGGAGAGGAACAGCTCCATCGTGAAACCGGTCTGCAAATGTTCCAAGTCCTGAGAAATGAAGTGGTTAGCTCCTGGATCCGTCCAAGCCAAGTTACGGATTGCATATGTCTGACTTTCTCATAGCTTATTGGTTGCCTGCAAAAGCGAACACGAATGCCTCCTACACTCATCAGGACTCCATATCGGCCAAATTCCACTGCTCAGAGTTATTGTGCAGATAGGCTGGTGGAGATTGCCGCCGGTCTATGCGAGCTTCAAGTTC